CCATTGCTTCTTGTCCTGCCTTCTGGTGCCTTGGAGAATAGTTTGACTCCCTCTTCTTTGGGGCAACCCCTGAGATATTGGAACACTATTTCCGGTTCTTTTGGTTGCCCCTTTTGTGGAACTGAGTGCTCGGTTAACAGAATCACAGAGTTGGAAGGGACCTCGGAGGTCTTCTAGTCCAACCCCCTGCAGAAAGAGGAGACCCTATAAAAATGGCTGTCCAGTCTCTTCTTAAAAGTCTCCAGTGATGGAAGACCCACAACTTCTGGTAGCCAGCTGTTCCACTGGTTAATTGTCCTCACTGTCAGAAATTTTCTCCTTAATTCCAGGTTGCTCCTCTCCTTGATCAGTTTCCATCCATTTCTTCTTCTCCTGTCTTCTGGTGCTTTGGAGAATAGGTGGACCCTCTCTTTTTCTGGGGCAGCCCCTCAAATATCACAATACAATACCTTGTCACCTGTGGTCCTTCTCTTCTGAACTTTTACAGAATACAGAATGACTGTGTTGGAAGGGACCTTAGAGGTCTTCTAGTCCAGCCTGCTACTCAAGCGGGAGACCCTTTGCCATTTCAGACAAAAGTCTCTTCTTAAAAACGTCCAGTGATGGAGCAAGTTCTGGAGGCAACTTCTGTCCCACTGGCTTAATTGTCCTCCTCCCTGTCAGGAAATCCCTCCTCATTTCCAGGTCTCTTCTCTCCTTGATTCGTTCCCACCCGTTCAGGTGTTTGGGAGAATAAGGTGATTTCCCCCCCCCCTCTCTTCTTTGGGGCAGCCCCTTACCTGGGAGCTGTTCTACAGGAGGGCCGCTGCGAGCGAGCGAAGGGCCGCGAATCCACGTTTGAAAGCTGCAGCGGCCCATAAATAAAGACGGGCTTTGCTATAAAATGTAATGAAGAATATTAGCATGAAATCAAGATGTTAAACTCCCCCGTGCGACAGGCCATAAATTCCAGGCGCTCTCAGCATTCCAGCCTCTTACTTATTTATTTATTTTAAAAGGAATAGGTATGAATTTAGGCGGATGGGTTGAGGTTCAAGAGTTTCCACCCTCTTCCCCCCCCCCAGTCCTTGGGGAGGTGTGTGTGTGCACATGTGCCCCCCCCTTCTCCGTGACTCTCGCTTCGCTCTCGCTCTCTTCTTCAGCGCCTTTAAGTCAGCTAATCAGCCCAAGACGAATGGCCAGGAGTGTCGGCTTATTAAAAACTTCCGTCCCACCGCAGAAGAGTTCCTGCATCTGGCAGCGGCCCAGGTGGACTCGGAGTTATCGGGCCCTTAGTTGAGAAACAGACCGCCTGTCGCCTGGAAACGAATGCGGGTGTGTGTGTGGGGGGGGGACGCACTGAAGGCCAGAGGGACACAGGAAACTGGGGGCAGAAATAGGGCTAGAGGCCCCTCAAGTCCACCCTATGGATTTATTTATAAGTATAATCTTTATTGTCATTGGACTTAAATACAATGAAATTGGTTATCTTCCGTTCTCCCTCCCTCCTTCTTTCTTTCTTTCTTTCTTTCTTTCTTTCTTTCTTTCTTTCTTTCTTTCTTTCTTNGAACCTGCTGAATTTCATCCCTGCTGCCGCCCCCCTAATTCTTCTCTCCCTTTAACCAGACATTCCCAGTTCTTAATTCAGGCTCCTTCTGACCCTTGTTTTGTCCTAGTGGGGCCCTTTCATGCGTTTGGAGACGGCCGGGATGCCCAACCATCGCACCATGAACCCGTGCCCGGTTTACGACAAGAAGAACGGCGTCATTTTCCTCTTCTTCATCTGCGTCAAGGACGGCATTTCGGAACAGCACCAGCTCCGGACGGGGAGAAGCGCCGTCCGATTGGGCTACATCTCCACCCACAATGGCGGCCACACCTGGAGCTCAACAACCGACCTGACTGAGCAGGTGACGGGCGACGGCGAGGTGAAGAAATGGGCGACCTTTGCCGTGGGACCAGGCCACGGGCTGCAGCTGAGTTCGGGGCGCCTGGTGATCCCAGCTTACGCCTACTACGTCCACAAGGCGTGGCTTGGCTTCTCCTTCCCGTGGTGGACCCAACCCCATTGCTTCAGCTTCTACAGCGATGACGGGGGGCGAACCTGGGCTCGGGGCGAGCTCCTCAAATCCTTGAAGACCACCGAGTGCCAGATGGCCCAGGTGACCTGCCAGGACAACAGGCAGGTGTTATATTGCAACGCCCGAAGTTTGCACAAATTCAGAGCCGAGGCCTACAGCGGAGATAACGGAGGCCAGTTTCCAACTCATGCGCTTAGCAAAAGGTTGTGCGAACTGCCCTTTGGCTGTCAAGGAAGCGTTGTGAGTTTCTTTCCCTCGGATTCAGGCCGAAAGGAGGACCCCAACGGCTCAACATTGCGGGTGGGCGCGTCTCCATCCTCTGCGTCGCCCGAGCGTCCCAGTTCGTGGTTGATGTTCTCCCATCCCACCAGCAGGAAAAAGCGGAGGGATCTGGGGATCTACCTGAACCCGTCCCCACTGGATCAGAGCAGGTGGACGTCCCCTTGGGTCTTAAATCAAGGACCCAGCGGGTACTCGGATCTGGCTGTTTGCGAAGACGGGGAGCCCCTGGCTTTCGGTTGCTTGTTTGAGTGTGGAGAGTCCAAGGAATACGAGGACATCGCATTTCGCCTCTTCTCCCACGAGGAGCTCCTGAGAAACGTGAAAATGTGACGGACACACAGTCTGAGGCCTCAATATAATACAATACAGTAGCAGAGTTGGAAGGGACCTTGGAGGTCTTCTAGTCCAACCCCCTGCCTAGGCAGGAAACCCTATACTGTTTCAGACAAACGGCTATCCAACATCTTCTTAAA